AAGCATGCTTTACAAACAGCCTGTCACCGCAAAAGAAATAATACAGTGTCGTAAGGATTTTAACTAGTGGTGGTAAAACAACACGTAATTTCTCGCCTGTATTTTTACGCAAAAAAATTGCACATGAACTCATTTCAAAATCTATCTTTAAGGAAACGATTTTATTATAGGAAAATTCTTTATCTTTAATATTTTAGACTCCGAAAAATTGTAAACTTTTGTAATTTTCGAAAAATCAGAGTTTTTAAAGAATGTGAGACCTGCAGCATTCTTTTAAACATTGCTTATGTACTGTATTAAGGGGTCGAACGCAAAATATGTCTTAAGTTTTCTGTCATTCTTTGTTTTCCTTCAATAAATATACATTTACATAAGCAATGACAATGATTTAGGAAAGGATGAATAGCAATTTTTGTACAAGAACATTGAAGAATTACTGTTGTGTTGTGTTATACAGTAATTTGAACACTTGTCAAATATGTTTGCATATTATAAAAACCAAACATGAATTTGAGTACAATATTTCTTAAAAACAGAAGAAACAGAAATGACTCATACAAGTAGAACTATAAATATAACAAAAAAGTAATGACTACAATTATTAATGTCCGACATCTCAATTAATGTCAATTTCACTGTCTTCTGTCTCTTTATCAATGTCGTTTAGAAATGCTTCATAGTATATTCTGTTGATTGGATGTATGAGTGGAAGAAGATCTTCGAAGTATGAGTGGTAAAAGATCCTTGAGCTTGGTAATAGTGGTTTTGGAAGAGGTGGATGGTTTTGGAAGAGATGGATTTGTTTTGGAAGAGGTTTATCACTAATAGGCTCGAAAGCTACTTGACTGATATTTCTCAAACCCTTTTTCCTATGTCTTGCTCCCTAAACGTTTCTTCATCAAAGCTGAAATTGTAATACAAAATTATTCCTGGAAAATACGATGAGTATTGCACATGTTCAATTTTCTAAGTCCACTTGGGCTCTTCTTATACCATTGAAATGACAAAATACTCGTAGGGCAATGTAAAGTTCTGTGAAGGAATTAGGATATAGAATCGACTCTTGACTTGGACGTTTCTTGCACTGAAAGAAGGGGCTTGAAAGCACACATAGACCATACAAACTGAAAATATTTAAAAACAGACATTGGACCTTCTCGCAAGCCACAGATACAATTTATATTTTGATGTGGCAGCTGTTCTCATCATATTATTAGACGTGTATCTTGTCATAAAACAGATTTTAGAGAATTTCGCGGGTAACAAAGAGGGAATTACCGTGAATTACTAAATTGAATTTGTTTGCTTGTAGTAGTGAAGATTTAGACTAAGCTTAGAATTCAGTGCATGTTGAAAGATAACATTAAGATTTTTTTGTTTTCACAGTATCAGCACAAATTATTAATAATTACATTGATATTTTCTTAATTTAGCCGCATGTATGTGTGTAATTTGCAGACATCAAGCAGTACATTGGTATGATATGTTAGAAGTGCTCTGCAAATGTGCGGTATATTTTCGTGGAGATGATTCTTTGCTTTGCAAAATAAAAGAGCACGCTACCAATAGAGGACGAGCAGATTGTATTATTACAAGAGAGTCATAGCATAAGTTCAGTTTGTAACATTTTAGTTTCTGCGGAAATTTTATTGTTATGTGGCTACGGAGCCTCCAATATTATCACGTTGTAATGGTATTCGGCAAGCAGAAACTAAAGAAGCTAGATACAAATATGCCAATATTTGCACACCCAATTTCATGTGAATTTCTTTCATATTGTTTAATAGGGAGTTGCTTCTCTTATGTAACAGCATGTAACGAAAACATGAAATATTAATATCACTTTTATTTTTGCATTCCCGATCGAGGCAAAAATAGAGTGGTAGCTTTCCTTTCTACGTTGTCTCAGTTTTTAGCGCTTTGTGAAGAAGAAAATCTCAGGCAGGCGGAGTTTGCTATTTGCGGTGAAGAGATACATCATGTTCACCACATGTCTCTGTTAACCCCCTAGCATAGGAATTTAACGAGTCTCAAGCATGGGGGACACTGATAGATAGTCAACAAAGATGGAAAATCGACCCAAAATGCTGAATAAATACATAGTTATGCGGCCGTTATTACCTCGAAACCAGAACTTTACTTTGAGCAAAAACACTCTTTTATTACTTTTTTACAAACTTTTTGCTTACAAGCGGATATATACAATATTTGCTTCTGAAAATAACATTCTTCTTAAATAAACTAGGTCAGTTAAAAGGTTTTTAATCGAAATATTTGCCTCCCCTCCATAAAAAACAAACTGTTGCCCCACATGCCGCTATCAAACTCGCCCCCAACGGCCCACTACAATTAGCAGTGAACACAATAGCATGATTACACTTGCCTGTTGAAACACAAGATCAGAATGGAAGGTTTGTAATATGTGAATAAATTAATACAATCATTGATTACGTCATTTCTGTACACTAGTGCTCGAACAGTCTCCTAAGGACGCACTACACGATTACCGCGTGGAAGCGATACCAACAAAGGCTACTAGATTTTTTGTCTGTATAACTAGTCTCTTTAATTTTTATAAAAAAAAATATTTTTTCTTCCAAATACAATACATTCTTATCGGTGTATTAACTGTGTTAGACAATATTTTACAATTTTTTCAGTGATATTTTTACTTAAAATACGTAAAATCTTCTTTTTTTTATTTCCTACCTCCTCCGTGAGTACTAAGTTTATGAATATGAGGACATATTAAGAACAATAACATAGTTTTAAAAAGGATTGCAACGCGAAGTTCCAAATGCAGCGTATTACGAAAAATACAACAAATGTAATCATTGGATTTGATACAAATTTGGCCGATTTGTTTGTACAATGTTGACTAAACAATAAAATGCTTAGCACTTACTTGTAGAGCGCCTTGACGTAGTCTGAATGCTTGTCATGTTGTGCGTTTAGTTGTGTTCCCATAGCAGTCTCTGCAAATGTAAATATCAATATTTACTTTAAGTTTAATACGTTAAAGTTAAAGTTAAAGTTAAATACCAATATATTCATTACAATATTCTACTTTGAACATATAATTATCATATCCAACATCAAACTATTTGAGACCCTTGCTCGGAGTTATTTAAACCTCTTTTAAGGATTTATCTTAACGACTAACGTGGAAACCGCACATTCAATAAACGTTTCTATAAGACAGGCGCCAAAGTTCTAAAGCTATACCCGTTTATCAGCAGAAATTCCACTCTCACTATAGAAACTGGGCTACTCATCTATAAAATGATAAGACCCATAATGGCATACGCATGTTCAATATGGCGCAACATAGCACCAACTAATCTATCCGTTTTACAGAGAATCCAAAATAAATATCTAAGACAAACCTTGAAAGCCCCCTGGTTCATTTCAAATTCACATATCCACCGAGATCTCCAAATAAATCTCTCAGAATTCATCTCACAAACCTCTGAAAATATTATTCCCTCTTCCCAGCATGCCCCAACATTCCAATATTCCATCTCAGCGAAAACGCACATTATCCATCACGCAGTACATCCAGATTCCCCAAAGATCTCTTTCGCTCACCCTAATTCATAAAATTATTTGCCCACTCTTCCCACAAGTATTCTCCCTCCTCCTCTAAACCACAAATGCAAACTTCTCATAGTGAAAATATCCAAATTAGATATTTAAAAATAGTGAAAGGGTGATCAGCGATCCGCATTTGCCTGAGGATGACCAAGTAAAATTATTGTATGTATCATTGTACCCGTTAAAACCATCGAAAGACAAAAGTCAAACGGGAAGAAAATAAATAAAAAGGATTTATCTTACAAGAATAACATGTGGATAAACATTCATGTAATCAGGACAAGATTTCACGCGATCAACGATCTTGAACACTTTGCTGACACATGGTTGCCAATGGACTCGTACTGTAATAATTGTGTAACACTGGAAAGGGGTCCCTTACGTATACCTATGTTTACGTGATGGCTGCATCAGAGAGGAAAGACAGCTCGTGTAAAATGAACCACACGATCACCGGTTCTCCCAGGCTAAAAAAGCGCGGCAGAAAAAAAAACTAACTTGCAGAGGGCCATCCAGCTTGGAAACATGACACTGCAGCCTATTACTCACTCTCACACGAAATACAGTATTCGATCCATTTGGAAGAGATAAGAAACAAAAGAGAGAAAGAGAG